TTTGACTAGTGTATGAATACTTTTGACACTGACTGTAATTTTACTAAATAATAGTTATAATTACACTAAATAACCACGTATTTAATATTTTGTTATAAAATAAGTATTTTATTATTTTTGAGGAGAGAACTGCTTCTGGATTATTTCTCTTTAAACTGTTCAAATAGTGAGCCACCTGGCCAGTTACTGAAGTATTTTGACATTGTTAATTTTGTGTTACAAGGTTAGTTTAGGTTAGGTTTATTGCTTAAGACTAACAACACGAGGGCTATCTGCCTGTGGGGAGGGATGTCTTCGTAGAGTAAGTTTTAAGGGAAACTGTCTAGTATCAACTTTTTTGTCATGAGATTTAATTTTTTATGTTGATGTTTGTTTTAGAACGTCTTGCTGTACAATTCATTAGCTTTATGACGATCAAAACCAGAATTGAAACCAACATTTAGTGGATTGATTGGATAATTTAAAATATGGCAAAGCATTTGAGGGTTATCTGCGCAGATGAACAAATGACTACGTGGAGAACTTTTCATGCGAAACTGATTCATTCACTTTACGGCCCACCAGCGGCCGAGCGGTAAAGACGCTGAACACTGGTAGTTCAGTCCGAGGTTCGAATCCCGCGAACGGGTTGGCTGTATGGGCGTTTTCGTGGTTTTCCCCATGTGTAACGTGTATACGAACCAGTTTCCCTTAGAAAGTCCTCCACGAAGGCATCCCTCCCTTTAGGTAGATAGCCCTCGTGTGCTTTACCGTAATTGAATAACCCATTCACTTTACGCATAAGGGAAGTCTCAGAAACTCCCATGCAGCCTGAACATTTGCCAGGATTTGAACTCCAGTCTATCTACCAGTGTTTAGTTTTTGAGCCTTCGTGAAAGTCTTTCTAGGCGATACTGATTCGCACCCATATAACACATGGGAACTACTTGAGAAAAATATTGTCTATTCAATAGCTAAGCAGTTATGCGCTATCAGAAGATTTGAAAAAGAAGCTGAAAGAAGTAAAATTAGTTTCATATAGCATTAATTGAGATTTTTCTCAAATTCGAAAATGTTTCATAAAGTATTTTGGTAGCCAGTTAAGCGTTTTATTATTTTGCAAAAATTTCCATAATTACTTTAATGGTAATACATATGGAAAAACTTAACCTCTTTCTTTTTAAATCTTATCAGTTTGAATGACCGATATCAGTTAGGCTCACAAAATATATTTCTGCTAAAATTTTCTAAAGTGTCGATGATAGTTTTGGAGTATGGCTCACTGTCTTTACTCAACCCTGTGAAAAGGATTTCTTTTGTTGTCTGTGGAGGTTGTATTTGAGTCTGCAGATTACATTTGATCTTACCCTATAGATTTCAAATGATCACAAATCTGGGTATGGAGCAAACCATAGTAATACGGAGATTATCATTGTAAATAATGTGTGTTTCTTAATTCATAGAAACATTCATATGTCCTTGCGGCCTTGGCAGGAAATAGCAATAGGAGATGTAAACAGTCGGTTATCGATCAGTAAATGTGTATATAGTTTGTTTCTTATGCTTGAGAAAATTTTTTCTGTTTTTCATTGCTAAATATTTAACATGCTTACCACTTTCAGCCTTCTATGGTCGAAAAAAAAATGTTACAGGCATGACTTCGGCTGTGATAATGTTTTTGACGCATTATTAAGCAACAACTGCTGAATTCTGACATTCGGAAAGTGCCTGTTTAGAATGAATTTCAGGTATGTTATACATGTAGCTTACACTCATGTCCATAAATTAAGGATAATTCGGAGTCACGCGGAAATCGAACTCTAAAATAAATATATCACCTGTAAAATCACTACACACATCTTCAAGAATCATATGCAAATTTCAGGAAGTAACCAGATGACACCGATGGTACGTCAAAATGAGGAGAGTGTAAGAGAGTGATATATAAGGAATACAGGAAAAGAAGTAAAATTGTTCGCAGGCGCTTTATAAGCATTTCAGTGCAATAACCGAATAGTTATGACACAAAGGACGCATTTGGATGATTTTTTACGTGGTAGAATTATCGGCCGTCTGGAATGTGGGCGTACCCAACTGGAAGTATCAGACGAACTTGGAATTGCCCAGAGTTCATCTCCAGGCTTTGGCAACGATTCCAAGATGATGGTAATGTGAGTAGACGTTACAGCACAGGTCGCCCCAGAGTTACAACGCCGAATGAGGACCGGTATTTGGCAGTTACTGCCAAAAGAAACAGGCGGAGCACAGCCTCAGACCTGTCTCGTCAGCTCTCTTCAGCCACTGGTACGACAATTTTTCAAGGCAGACCGTGTACAGACGCTTAGGGCAGATTGGTCTATATGCTCGTAGACCTGTCAGATGCGTTCCACTTACTGCAACTCACTGTCGCCTGCGGTTAGCCTGGAGTAGAGAGCATGCATTGTGGACACCGCAACAGTGGGCTTGTGTGATGTTTTCCGACGAGTCCAGGTTTAGCTTGCAGTCTGATTCTCGCCGGACTTTCATATGGAGAGCTACAGGTATCCGTTACCACCAAGAAAACATCATTGAACGACACCCGTTACGGTGGTGCAGGAGTGCTCGTTTGGGGTGGAATTATTCTGGGTTCCAGAACTGACCTGCATGTTCAAATTGGGAACCATGACAAGCCAATCTATCGGGACGTCATTCTGGAACAACATGTACGTTTGTTTCGGGGCGCCATGGGCGCACAATTTGTGTTTATGGATGACAACGCCCGTCCTCACCGTGCAAACATCGTAAGCGAATGCCTTCAATCGGAGGATATCACCCGTATGGACTGGCCAGCATTCTCACCGGACTTGAATCCAGTAGAGCACGTGTGGGACATGCTTGGCCGACGAGTTGCAGCCGTCAACCTCCTCCTACATGTCTACCGGAACTTCGGAGAGCATTGCTTTTTGAGTGGTGTAATATCCCCCAAGATCAGATCGATAATTTGATACTCAGCATGCCTAGGCGTTGTACGGACTGTATTGCATCGTCTGGGAGACATACAATGTATTAACAATCATACCAACCATGTAATATTGGTTTTTTTGTAAATAGGTTTTTTTTTTTTTTTTTTTTTTGTAATTTGCTCCAGGGAGAAAAAATCGCTATTTTTTTTTAATAATATCAAACATATAGCATCTTTTTTTGCTCTTTACCTTTTGTTTAATAAATAAGCTTTACAAATAAGTCAAATTTGTCTTGCTTCTAACTTTTCCTTTGCCTGATTTTGCATTATCCTTAATTTATGGACATGAGTGTATTTTAAATACGTAGCTTACAAAATTGTATTAAATAAAATAGTAAATAGAAATTTATATTAATTTATTCCTGCATGTCTATATTAAATAAACTGAGTACTGAAGACATTGAATAAAATTGCTTGTGTATATCGGTAATAGTCTGTTTCTCGTAAATGCTGAAACTCGCCAATTCCCATTTCTCGCTAAGGTTGCTAGAACAGGAAGTACAAAAATTTTATTTCATTCTAAACCGAAAACATCTTACAGACTGCAAAGTTATAACATTTTCGAGCACAATTCTTTCTGTTAACTCCGAATGGGTAGGCCATCTGAACATTGGGGCTCGAATTCAAGCGAACGGGTTGACTGCATGTGTAATGTGAAGTAAAAGATATTATTCTTAGAAAATCCTCCTTGAAGACATCCATCCTAGGCGGCAGATAGCTCTCGTGTGCGTTGCCATAATTGATAACACCATCTGTTAATCCATTAACATTTTTACGATATCTTTATTATCTGAAAGATAATTAACATATCTTTTCAATATTTTTTTTGGAGATCTGAAAGTGAAGTCGTAAATTTAACTTATCTTTTGTATTTGCTTACGACGAAAATATTTTAAAATATAAAAACTTCGAAGGTGCTCCTAGGGAAAAAGGCAAAAAGTAGTCTTCTGTCATCGGGATTGGGTTCAGAAACGTATGTATATAATGCATGCACTTGTGTATGTATGTGCCTAAGTACGAGTATGTATACACACACATACGTACGTACTGTTCTGTTATCGGTACCGATTCAGAAATATATGAATGTATACACACATATACAGTCGCGCTTACATATAAACATGCATACATTTCTGGATCCGGTCTTGATAACAGAACAGTACCTATACACGCATACATGAACACATACATCCATGCATACATAAATACATACATACATACATTTCGTAATCCGGTCTCGATAACAGAAAAATACCAGCTAAAATTTGCATTTATTTATTTTCTCAATTTTTTTTTTCAATAGTCGGGCGCTTTATTTAATTGCCATTAGCCTTGCGCCACTAGAGCAGGAAGTGGTGGCCATTTCATTATGGAAGCACGTAATAGGTGGCTGCCGTTGCCTCTTATGAAAGGACGGACAGTTACAACCAGGCCTTCTCTCGGATTCGAACACCGGCTCATCGCTGAGTCAGTAAGGGTGAACTATTCAAGGAAGACTCAATCCGCCTTGTCCTAGCGGGACCATATTATTAAAAATGAGGCAGTAAGAGTCACTAACCCTATACCGACTGGGCGGCTATTCGAGTTTCGGGCCCTGGGGCCCTACTGGGGCTCTGGGCGGCTATTCGGCTTTGGGCCGAGTTTTTTAACAGCTGCTCTTTTTGCCAGAAACGGATGCTTGTGGAACTGATTTGCACATGTAATTCAAAGAAATGAATTAAAAGATAATTAAGTAATAAGTTTTCATAAAAGCTAATTTTTATATTTAGATTTTAAAATGTAAGTTTTTTTTCGATTCCGAAAGAAGAGGAAATAAGCATATCTTTTAATATTTTCTGATCTGAGAGTATCTTGCAATGTTTTGCGAAGTTTTAAAAATTCTCTGATTTATCCAAAATCGTAAAGCACTTAAGATGTTAATGCAATACATTTTAAGGTGATTTCCTTCAATAACATTCTAAGTAAACATTTATAATATTTCTTTTAGGATACTGCACAGAAATGTGCAAAGAATTCTTACCTTGATTAGCTGTCGTTGATATAGGAAACGGAGTTCTTGTAGTTGACACTTCTATAGGTCTTTGAGATGAAGTTGTTTGTGATGGTCTTGACACAGGTGATGGCTTAGAATTTGATGTTACAGGAACAGTTGAATTAGCGTGCAAAGACGTATGTGATACTGGTTTGACAAAAGACGGTCTTGATGGTGGTTTTGGTTTAAAATATGTAGGTCGTGATGGAGGTTTAAAATAAATTGGTTTTGATGACGACCCTGGCTTGACATATATAGGTCTCGATGGAGATGCTGGTTTGACGTATGTAGGCCTTGATGGTAGTGCTGGTTTGACGGACGTCGGTCTTGTTGGAGGCACTGGCTTTACAGACGTAGTTCTCGATGGAAACACTGGTTGGACGGATGTCGGCCTTGTAGAAAGTACTGGCTTGATAGATGTAGGTCTTGTTGGTGTCACGGGTTTGATAGAGGCAGGTCTTGATGAAACGAGTGGCTTGACAGTTGTAGGCCTAGATAGCGGTCCTGGTTTGACAGATGTAGGTACTGACGTAAACACTGGTTTGACATACGTAGGCCTTGACGGAGGCACTGGCTTGGCATACGTAGGTCTTGATGTTGGTTCTGGTTTAACAGGATGAGGACTTGATGGTACAGTAGGTTGAATGTGATTGGGTTTCACTTCGGTATATGAAGAGGATTCGGGATGAGCTGTTAATTTTTCAGAAGAAATTGTTACACTTTCTTTAGTATCATATATAGGAGATTGAGATGTAGTTGAACTTGAAGTTGGTTTTTTATGAGCAAAATCCGTTACTGTAGAATCTGGTACAGGAATTAAATCATTTTTCGAGTCATTATGAGCGCAACAACTTCCAAACAAGAATCCATCTGCACATGTTCCTAAGTGTTTTCCTTCAGTTTTAATACACTCCCATACAAACATACAAGTACCAAGATCTCCTATTGAATTGTAACATGCCTGAGGACGAATATGAAGGCTTCTCACTGAAAAAAGTAATAGAGAAGTTTGTAATATTAATATCGAATTTAAAAATAGAAACATTTACATCTTGATGTCTGAACTAAATATTAATTAATATGTAATTTATAACTGATAATGCAACAGTATTAAAAGTGTGAATGCCTATGTGTTTTTAAGAAATAAACGATATTTCGCTTCTAGCAACAGATTCCATGTATTTAAAGCTCTCTGGGAGTTAATAAATAAATAAATGATTTTTATGCTTTTTATCGGAAACAGCGAGATTTCGAAATTGAAAAAAAAAATCAGTGAGTTTACTGCTCATTTAAAACTTTAACTTATTTAAAAAATTAAGTTATTTCACTTTTTCGAGAGCAGAAACTTTAGGCATGTGCAACAACACATACAGAGTGTTCAGAATGATTTATCTGACTATACAGTGTGTACCGTAAATGTTGCGACAAACTTCTAGGGTAGGTAGGGCACATCATAAGGATTATGAATTGCATAGGAACTTATACCCGAGAATGCCAGGGGTAAGTGGTAGCAGAGGTAGAAGGTGGGAAAGGAAACAAGAGAGTGATTAATTTGAAACATTTATTGGACATGAATACAAATGGTGTACGACAGATTGAATGTTACAACAGATGCACCATCAGACGAAAAACGCCTGACACCAACGGACCATTTGAATGCCGCGAATAATTTGATCTTTCTGGAGTAAGTTCTTCCCGATTTGCTTGAGAATGTTCCACCAAATGTGAGGCGCAAAATCTGATTCCAACATGAGGGAGGGGGCTGCTAATTTGAATAGATCATTCTCGCATCGATGGATTGTGCGTGGTGGACCAATTCCCTCGCCCCCACGCTCACGGGATTGATTTCTTTTTGTGGGAAGCCATCAAAAGTGTCATGTATCACGATCCTATTGTATCTGAAATGGATCTCGTGGCAATACTCGCCTGCACAGCTGCTACAGTCAAAGAAACTCCTGGTATGTTTTGAACATGTCCGTCGGTGTCAAGTATGTTTGGCGTCTGATTGTGCAAACTTCGAGCATCTGTTATAACATTCAAGCTGTCGTACACCATCTGTATTCATGTCCAATAAATGTTTCAAATTAATCATTCTTATTTCTTTTTCCATCTTCTACCTCTGCTACCAATTACCCCTAACAATCAACCCTCCTATGCAATTCTTAGTCCCTATGATGTGTCCTACCTCCCCTAGAAGTTTGTCACAACATTCATGGTACACCCTGTATTTTGATGATGACCATGTTTTTGGAATTTACGAAAGAGTGTAATCAGTGGTACTTCAAAAGGAAAAGACGGTTTATCTTTAACTCCATAAGTATTCTTTGCAACTTCTTACAACATGAGGAATATTGAGACGATATTCGGATTCATTCGCGTAATTGTCTACTGTGACCTCCACTTGCTGACTCATTGCAACCAAGCGACGCTAAACTCACGCAGAGAATTATAGAAAATGCTAGTTTTAACACAGTTGAACGCCCTACCAAAATATTTTCCTTTATGGCTCAGTTGGCTGAGAAACAGTTTCTTCCATGAAAGCTTCGCCCTTCCAAGTGCAGCTACTCGCCCGCTAGTGGTCAAGTGGTTAAAAACGCTGAAAATTAATAGTTCGACCTGAGGCTCAGTTCCCAGTCCACAGCGGCCGAGCGGTAAAGTCGCTAAAGACTGGTAGTTGGGTCCGAGTTACGAATCCTGCGAACGGATCGGCTGCATGAGCGTTTTCGTAGTTTCCCCATGTGTAATGTGCATACGAGCCAGTTTACCTTAGAAATTCCTCCACGAAGGCCATTCCTCCCATTAGGCAGATAGCCTTAGAGATTTTACCGTAATCACATAAACCAAACCAAATCCCAGTAAATAAGCTGGTTGCATAGATGTTTTCGTGGTTTTCCATAATAACGTAAATATTAACGGATTTCCGTTAGAAAATACTTTGAAGGACACTTTTCCTCATACAAAGAGCCCACATGTGCTCCCGTATTCAAATCATAGCAAATAACTCACGTCTAGCTTATATCCGAATCAATTTCCTTAGCAGGATCGCGAGGGAAGCGATCTTACCCAAAGTTGATAACATTAGAACGATTTGACGTATTAACTTACTTTCTAAGTTACCTATATAATGTTCCATTGAGAAGTTCGATAAATAAAATCTGTCGCCAAACCCTGCAATTTAATGCCAATAAAGGATGAATGTGATACCAAAGACTCAAAATCTTCGCGGCCCACCAGCGGCAGAGCGGTAAAGACGTTGAACACTGGTAGTTCGGTCCGAGATTCGAATCCCGCGAAACGGGCTGTCTGCATGGGCGTTTTCGTAGTTTTTCCCATGTGTAACGTGTATACGAGCCAGTTTCCATTAGAAAGTCCTCCACGAAGGCATTCCTTCCTTTAGGCAGATATCCCTCGTGTGCTTTGCCTTAATTAAATAATCCAATCCAATCGAAAATCTTCGCTTCGGTTTCACGAAAGCCAGTTTAATGCTCAATAAGCCATCGTAAAAGTATTTGACGTTCTTCGTAATTGATCTACAATTGTTTCCTGTTATTAGAAGATCTACCGAGATCATGCTGCAGGGTTTGAACATTTTAAAGTTAATAACCGATATAGGTATTTAACACGTTGAGCTCGGCGCCGAATTTGCTGTCCTTTCCGGTTGGTTTCGGTTAAGCCGGTTATCTTGGTAACAAAATCAGCTTAATCCAGATTCATAACAAAATGTTACCAAAAAAATTGTTATGTATTGTAATATGTGTAAAGCTAAGCCATATTTTTGTTTAGAATGTTTCAATAAATTTCATTAAAACTGCATTTATTTTTTAACTTTAATATTGTCGGTTTCGTGGACCGACACCAGCCAAACGAAAATTTTAGTGCCGGCCACACGAAAAAATCACTGCCGGTCCCCAGAGACCGATGCCGGGCTCAACGTATTAAGTATTATCGTAACCAACTTAATAGAATTTGCCAAATTTTCAGAATGGGCCCAACTCTGGCAACCATTCTCATAAAAATCGCCAAATTCCGCCAAGATGGTTGCGTTAATATGTACGCATAATATGTATAAGTACCTCAATAAATTGGTGTGCAAAACTTAAGCAACAATGTAAATTTTAATCAGATAGCTATGAAATTGTAGAAAAGGGGTTCTTGCGTTCAGTACAATGGACACACAATTCAGTAGAAGGGTCATGCGTATGCAAATGTCAAGAAAAAAAAGGTCACAGGCTACGTGAGCGTACGCAAAACGCGTACGGTCGGCGCGCTCAACTCGAGATTACCATAAAAGGAAGGATGGAGATGCAATTAAAGACATTCGCTGCAAGTACAAGGAGTTCTTTCGTGAAATTTTTGGCTAGAAGAAATGATCTGGATGACTTCACACGTGGAAGAATGATCGAAAATCTGGAGTAGGGGCGAAGTGTGACCAGTATAGCTGAAGAGTTCGGAATCAACAAAGTGGCGTTTCGCGCGTTTAGAAAGCCTTCCATACCATAGGTACAGCTGTTAGAAAGGTTGGTGGTGGCCGTCCCAGGAAAACAACTGCAGCAAATAACCGATATATAGTCCTGCAGACGAAAAGAGTCCGAAACCAGTCAGCAAGCGCCACAGAGCTCAACAACTGTGAACAGCAACGGGCGACAATTGTCGTGGTTTACTGTGTCCAAACACCTTCACAAAGATGGCCTATGCGCCTGCCGTTCTGAACGCTGCATCCCTTTGAAAGTTGGCCATCGGCATCACCGTTTACAGTGGTGCAAGGAGCGCAAAAACTGGGCATCTCATCAATGGAGTCGTATCCTGCTTACGGATGAGAATCGTTTTAATGCCACAAGTGATTCTCAACACAAATTGATTTGGAGAGAGGTTGGGACACGGTTTAATCTCAGTAACATTACGGAAAGAGACCGTTACGGTGTCCTGAAGATCTCGTCTGGAGAGGCATTATGCTGAACGGGCGGACGGAGCTTCACGTTTTCGACAGAAGTTCTGTAACCGGAGATCGCTATCGTCAGGAGGTGATCCCCCCCTATGTGCGTCTGTTCCGAGGTGCCATTGGAGCAGACTTCGTTTTTATGGATGACAATGCACGGTCACACCGAACTCTTGCTGTTAAGAAGCTACTGAAAGTGAAGATATCAATGGATTGGCCAGCGTGCTCCCTTGATTTAAACCCCATAGAACATGTGTGGGATGCTTCGGGGAGACGCTTGTGACACGATTACATCCTCCGGGGAACAACCAACAACTGAAACAGATGCTGATTGAGGAATGGGCACTTTTACCTCAAGATCTGTTGGAAAATCTGGTGCTGAGTATGGAGAGACCTTTCGAAGCAACCATTGTAGTAAGGGGAAGGCATATCCCATACTAAGAAACACCTGCTTGTTGTTCTTCCTCTTGTACAGACAATCATGTGTAACGATACTGTGAATTCAATAAAGCGTGTTTTTGTTTGATTCCATACTGTATGCATTGTATTCATTTTTAGACCAATTATTCTTTCGTCATCGTTTAAATACAAAATGCTGTCTCTTAATTCTGAATTTCATTCTCTCAGATGATTTCTCGTGGAGTTATGCCAAAAAGGATACCTGTTGCTTAAGTTTTGCACACCAGTGTAATGTAATAAATCCTTATATCAGTGCGTAAACTTAGAAAATTCAAAGGCTGTGTGGTTCGACAAAATGCCGCTATAAAAATCACTGAGAAACAGGATTACACCCCCTTAGATGCGTATCTAAGCAAATTTATGTTGCGCCAACAGAAGATGACTATTTTGTTGCTATTTTAGGTGTCATTTGGACTACTAGAACGATTGACGCAAATTTTAATTGCTTTATTTGGCAGATATTCTCAACATTTGCTCATAGTTATTTAATTTTTTTCATGATATGTCCTTAATTTATGGTAATTCATGCTACGTCCGTAATTTATCTGCTCGTTATGTAACTAAATAAAGAGTGATGTGTGATTAGCTAACT